GAGTTTATTAGGGAGCTACATCCCGACCAGAGATGTGTAAAGTACTGGAGTATAGTACAATCTGTACTGAGGGTCTACGTCTGTGTTGTGTTAGAGGGTTAAATCCTCGAGTTATAGACGGGATGCAAAGCAAAAAAAAAAGGTTTAAAATGTTTTTTTTATATAATTTGACTCACTGACTGACCAGCCATAAAAACTGTTGTTGTACAGTATCATAGTCACTGTGTTCTGCCCTGTTTCCTGTTATTTGGAGAACACAGGAGGGTTTTCTGAAACGGGTTTTCTGGTGGGATAAACTGTGTTCAGGAGGTTGTGGTGGTTTAGTAAACTCTTCTTTAGGGTTTCCGAGCAACAGGAAAAAACGGATCCAAAGCGATTTTATCCGACTCCGGCTTTGTAGTTCATATTGGATTTAATCGTGATAAATAGGTGTCACTGTCAGGAATAATTATGGACATAAAAAATCTTCCAATGGATCTGCTCTATCAAATACAGAATACATACTATGCCACTTCAGTGAGTAGTTCAGGGATCGGCAACCCAAAATGTTGGAAGAGCCATATTGGACCGAAAAAAACTAAAATCAAATGTGTTAACCCTATAATGAAGGCCACACATGCTGCATGTATCTATATAAGCTATATTAGCCTAGCATCAAAATGACTAAGGTGGCTACAAATCCATAATGAGCCTTCATGATTAAATGTTTATTCTGTTGGACGACGTCTCCTTAAACCTCAAACGCTACGACAGAAATGTTGAAATTTAATGTTTATTCTACACATTTTTGCAGCTTTAGAAAATGTTAAAAATGTTTGTGTGATGTTTGTCCTCCTACAGAAACCATATTAACTCATTGACTGGCAGCCATTTTCAGAACAGAGTCCCATACTGCCAGAGTTTTTTGAGCATTTTGACTGATTTTTCAAGAGCCACAGAATAGTTTGTGCTATGACTATGTAAACACCGAACACACCAAAAGAAAGAGTAGACTCTCTTCTTTCATCAG